TGGTCTCCACTTTATTGGACCGTTCTTCATCTTAACCTTATTGCAATTACTCGGATAACCTTATTTATTTAGTAGCCGTAGGCCACTGTTACTCCCCTCCCAATAGGTTAAGTTTTTAATGCATTGCAATTTTCCTTATCTTATGGCTTTTTCCTTTTCTTATATTAAGTATAGCTAATTAGATGCTAATTAAGCTAGTGGGTATATGCGCCTAGAAGATACGTCAAGCAGTTGAAAAAAAAAAAAAAGGATTGAATTGTAATTTTCTTTTCTTTATTTTAATGTTGAAACTTGAAAGATTTTGTTTGTTAAGTTTTGTTATTCTTTATTGTTTATATATAGTGACTGATAAATTATTTAATTAAAGATAACAAGATTGAAATAGTCAAAGATTGAATAAAACGTAATTATTTTGGAACCTAAAACGTGTAAGCAATTGTATGCAAATTTAAGCACTTGGTTTAGAATTAAATAATTTGAATCAAGGTCAATTGCCTTGTTACTTTTGATTAAAGAAAGGAATTAAATACTAATTTTTTACCTATTAGGAATTGGGCATTATGAAAAACTTATAAAAATTACTCGAACATATCTCTACTTCAATCCTCTTAATTTTTCCTTAATTAATCAATTGATATAATTACTAAAGCAATATTTTCTATTTATTACATCTAAATATATATATATATATATTTACATGTTATTGTAATATATTTTCTATACATATTTAATCAAAACACTCTTGCATGTATACTTTGTTTTCTAATCAATACAAAATAGAATAATTTAGTCTCAAATTTATCCTCGTAACATAAATAGGAATGACCAAGACACCAATGCTCCGAATCAAGCTTCCAAGAATGTGAAACTGGTGTTGCAAAAGGGTGGTAAGAGTGTGGTTCCAAGTAGAAAAGATCATTACGTTCTCTGTCCAATCCAATCACCTCGTCCGTTATAGAGTTTTGAAAAACACACAAATTGGAATAAAACCTAACAAAACAATTCAATTGTTTGATAATCTTGCGAATGGACAGAAGATAGAATTTCAACCATATACTTTTCTTTTATCATACTTTTACACCCTACTCCCTAATCCCAAATTCAACCCTTTAGTTTTTCCTAATAACTAATTTGAAAAAAGGTTGATTCTAGCTCCCAAAGTCTCTTTTTGAGTAGAATACTCTTTTTTGACTGTTAAATTCGTGGATTCAACTAGAAGGAAATATTTGATAAGAGGGAGTTGAAGTCTTTGAGAGCTGAGGTTTTCTTATTTGTTCAAGTTAATTTAAGTTATTAGTTTTACTGACCCAATCCAGAGGATAATTAGGGTCAACTCATAACTCATGCCAGTGCCCAACCGATAAAGCAAAAGATTAAACAATGAATTAAACGCAATCTCTCATACACTCTCACAAGTCACTACATTCATTGTATTAAGCGCACATAAAAAATATTTGCATCTTTGTCTTAAACCAAATATATTTTATAAGTCTGCAGCTTTTGTCTACTTCCAAAGCCAAAAACCAAAACAATAAATAAATAATTTATTAATGAAAAGCTAGCTTTTCCATTAATATTAGCATTACCCAGTTGTACACAGTTCAAGTGTACTGCTAAGAGATTAACAGTTGGATTAAGGAACATTGCCATGATTAGTAGAGAATGTGGCATCATTATTGAGGGCAATGATGTGGGGGTATGGAGGTTTTTGTTCCACAAGGAGTTATTTTATTATGTTTTGGTAATAGAAAATTGGAGATGACATGTGAAAGAGTGCCGAAACCGCTTGTCGGGGATTAAAAGAAAGCAATTCTGGTTTTCGTCTAACATAATTCCTCATCCATGTTCATCGGCTATGTCAGAACGAGGTTTCATCAGGTTGGATTTGTACCTTAAAATATATGAAGAATGTATTAACAAAAAGAAAAAAAAATTTTAGAAAAAGGATTTTTTGTTTTGCATGAACTTTTGTTGCGGCATAAGGATTTGTGCCGTGTGGCAATGGAACACGAACAGTGATTGGTTACTAGAAATTATTTAATCATAAGTTTACCTAATTATTTCCTCCCAAGTTCAATGAATTTTTACATCAATAAAAATTACTCTCGATATTAAATACATTTATATTATAAGCTTAATTTTACCTAATTATTTCATCAGGAGTTCAATGAATTTTTACATCATAAAAATTACCCTCAGTATTAAAAATATTTTAATATTAATTTTATCTAATTATTTCATCGTGAATTCAATCAAATTTTACACGGTATAAAAATTACTCTTAGTATTAGGAATATTCTAGTAATAATTTTAATTATTTATTTCATAGTGAATTCAATTAATTTTTGCATGAATAAAAATTACTCTTAATATTAAAAATATTCTAGAGTAATAATTTTAACTAATTATTTCATCGTGAGTTCAATGAATTCTCATGTGTATAAAAGTTCAAATAAGTAAAGAATGAATTCGTTGAATTTTTACATGTCTAATTTTCATTTTTAAAAAAGAAGAGGGTAAAGAACAGAACAAGCTAAGCATTGCTTACTGCTAGTGATGATCTGAAAAGGCAAGAAACTTAATAATCGGAATTTTGAAGTTATTTTGTTCTGAAATTAAGGGTAATGTTAAGGAGTCAAATACACAAGGTAATAATTTCTCCATGATTATAGCTAGAATTTTGAAGCCTATCCCAATTATTTTTGGTATGCCTTTCTGACAAAATGTTGAAGAAGAAACAAATAAATTTGATTCTCAAAACATAAGGAATCCAAACACAGACACCATCTGAAAACTTTGATGGATTACTTGTCACTAGTTTTATGCTTATTCAGGATGCTGACAAAAGACTATACAGAAATCATGTGGAAATAGGGGTGGGGGGGAGAGAGAAATCTGCCATGGCTAGACAGCTATAAGGAGCTTTTTAAGAGAAAAAAAGTTTAGGGGATTAATATTAGAATAAGCAAGCAGAATAAGTCAAGGCATTATATGGTTGAGTTTTTCAGTTTTCTTGGGCAGTTCACAAATGCAATCTAGGACAGACCCTAAGGCAGATAATATAAAAAATTCTGGGAAAACCCTGATCATGTCCATGGTGAAGAACAATCCAAAAACCATTTTCATGTTTAAGCATAAAACAATCTTTAAAACCCCATGTTCACAGTATGAGATGCATACACACTCAGTACAGATTCAACTCATCTTTATCAAAGATTGCCACATAAACTCGTGTGAGTTGTAATTGTTCAATCCTAGTTGTCGTGTATGACAAAAGGAGCATGAAGGTTTATGCATGGAAATACTTAAAAGATCATATCAAGAAATTAGTTCATTTGAAAATTTTCCCTCCCTTGAGCAAAAGATTGTTGGCAAAGGGTATATCTTAAGCATTTAAAAGCATTAAAACACAAGATTTCATTCTACCAATGAAAGCTATGACTACCAATTACCACAGTTTAGAGAAAGTAATGAACGGTGTTGATCAGCTATTAGTTCCGTGATTAGCCAATGAAAAGAGGGAAAACCATTGCCACCAATGCTTTGGTTTCTCATGAACAAACAACAAAACCGCGTGAACTAGAAAAAGGAAAGATTTAAAAAAGGGGAAAGGAGGAGAAAAAAAAATTGAACAGCCGTTTATTCCCATATATAAAATGCCATACAGAAGGAAAAATCTTACTGGTTTAGTCATTGACCCTTGAGAGATAGCTAGATAAAAAAGGATAAAAATGAAAAAATAATTGTAAACTATGGAGAAAGAAAGGGAGGGAGGGAATTTTGTTTTAAGAAAGAGACAAGAGTCCTGAAAGAGTGGGAAGAGCTTAATGGAGATAAAAAAAAAAAGAGAATCTCTCCAAGGTCTTTTATTTTTTTTTTTCTTATTGGAAAGTTTAGAGCTTTCCTTAATTTTTTTTCATTTCCTTTGATGTGGACTTGTTCCTCTGTAACATTGTGAGAGAGAGAGAGAGAGAGAGAGGAGAGCCATCTCTTTCTCTTGTCTTTATTGGCCTTTGATTGCTCTATAAATGACTGACTAGAGACCTTGTGATAACTCCCTCTCTCAGCATTTTTGGTTTTTGCTCTTTTTTTTCTTTGCATTCATTATTTTTCCCTTCTAGGACCCCAGAAAATGGAAGAGTTGGGTTCCTTGTGGAATTTTCAAGAGGTGGGTCATTTTTCTGTTTCTTCATTTTCTGCTTTTATCTCAGTGGTCTTTCTTTCTTGTTCACCTTGTGTGGGTCTTGTTTAATTTTGAGACATCAAGTCCATTTCATTCTGTCTTGTTCACTTTATCTCTTTTTGTTTTCCGTTAAAGCTATCATTTTTTTGGTTTCTGTCATTCATATTTGAGTTGTTCAATCTCAGAGTTAATGGTTTTTCATGTTAGGTTGGTGCCTCTCTGTTTCTGTTCTCTTCTCCGTTTTCTTGCTATCCAAACTCTTTTTGAAAAGAGTAACCTTTCCGTCTTGAAATGAATAACTTTGAGTTGTCTCAATTCTGACATCTTTTCTTGTTTATAGCAAAAACATTACCACAATCAAATTTTCCTTTAAATATCCCTGTTATGGTATATGCGACACCATTTTCTTTCTTCATTTTCTTTGTGGGGGCGTCAAAATGGATTTCTTGCAGCATTTGGTATGTAGTGCAGTTTTTAGGTAAACATGTGCATTCGTTCTGTCCTGATATGAGCAAAACATGCATTGGTAGAAATGTTGAGTTACTACTCGTCGGTTTTGGTGGAAACTAGTGGTATTTCGTGGCATTAGGAAATGGGGTCCAATGTCTTTTCATGGATTTTTTTTTTTGGGGGTTTCACAAGGGTTTAATGAAACATGATTTCAAAATAAATCATGGTTTGACTGAAAGCACTTAGGATTCACATGGGCTAAGCAGTGATTACACTGTTTCTCCTAACTTTGAACTGGTTGTTGATCCACTTGGTTTATTTGCTTTATGTTGATATCTTGTTAAATATCTATGCTTTTTCCAAAGACTAATTTTGGTCTACATGTCCCCACTGAAGTTATGGGTTTGGTAAATGCAATTTGCTGAAACCATAATGATTCAGTTTTGGTTCCATCTTTTTATGTTTTTGTCTTTATTTTCTGATGCATGCTTTTAAGTGAGTGAGATGTTCTTTGATTTTGTATTGTGCTTTGTCATCATACTTGACGACGTCTGACACTAACCCTTCTTTTCTGAATTAACAGAATTTTGATGAACTGAAATTGAGGCTTCAATACACTACAATTGAGCTCGAGTCTGTCAAAATGGAAGCAAGTGAGCAGATTTGGAAATACAGGGAGGAGGTAAAGCATTTGCTCAATCTTCTAAAGCTTGCGTACCAAGAAAGAGATGAGGCAAGAGATCAGCTGCAGAAACTACTAAACAAGTTAATGCCTTCCAGTCCAACTGAACTGCAACCCATCCTCCATCATCCCCAATCTGAAAGTCCCCTTATGGTTGCAGCAAAAGCAAACTCAAGCATAACTGAATCTAACAGTTTATCAGACACATATAATCACCACTCACATGGCTCTTCCCAAGTAGATTCCTTCTTCGATGCGGTCACTTCACCAGAGTTCTCAAGCATTAACATGGCGGATTCGGGTAGCCTGGGGCTTGTGAATCAGCCCTTTGTTCAAGAGTATAATAATGGTTCTATGCCAACTGGGTTAGTCTCCTCAGGGGTGACCAAGATTGATACTGCTACATCTGTGATTGATAATCTTGCAAAGGGCAAAACTTTGCCTCAGAAAGGAAAGCTCTTGCAAGCTGTTACGGAAGCAGGCCCTCTTCTTCAAACACTTCTGGTTGCCGGGCCCCTTCCTCGATGGAGAAACCCTCCTCCTATGCAGACTTTCAAAATCCCCCCTGTTTCCATCAAAGGTTGTGATTCTGAAAGAGCTAACCAAAAACCAGGGGCCAATCAGAATAGGACTATCGTTCAAAAACGATTGAACTCATCATCATATCCTGAGATGTCTCGTGGCTCACGTCAAATGTGTTCAGCAGCTATTTTGAATTTTGCAGGTTCTGCTTCTACTTCAGGACTGTTGAGTGCTGGTGCTGGTGTTAGCACTCAAATCGTAGCAGGAAAGCGCCAAAGGTCTCAATGAGTTCCAAGAAAAAACCAAAACAAGCTTTGCTTCATTTTTGTAAAGATTAAATTTGAGGGGTTTTATGGTGTAAATTGGATACGCTTTTTTGGGGTTTGAATTAAATGATATAGCATAGCTGCTTCAACACTTTTTAACTTCTGGTTTATTCTTGTATATCCTGATTTCACATTTCTACTTCATTTTTTCCCTCTGTTGCATCAGAATTATGAAAGAAATCAACTGCATAGTACCACCCTACATATACCTGAAAAATCTTCTCCTTCCAGAGATAGCTAAGCCATTAATTTGATGCTAGACTAAACTAAAATCTATTATGATTGGTAAAATGGCGAAAAAATAGGCTAAAATAGTGAAAGTTTTGCCTGTATAAAAGGTGCAGATTCATTCACGAGAGCTCCAAAGACTGCAGATGTTCATGTTAAAAGTTAATTCTGTAAATTCTTTGGAGTACCAGTAGCAAGCATTTCGAATCAATCATCCCAGATACAACGAAAAAGCTGGTTGTTATATTTGAATCATGAAACTAAAAAAAAAAATGTTCACTATCCTCTTTGTTGAAATTTTATATGATAATTTGTTCATATTGCTGGTCTAAACAATTTTCAAGCCCAGGCTCCGGGTTTTCTTAACTTTGTGACCCTGATTGATTCTAGCAGGGATACAAAGAACAATGCTAATCCATTTGAAAATAAACCAGTTAGTGGTTAAGCCAGCTTAACTACTTAACTCGACAAAAATGGATGAACTAGGCCCCAGGATGAAGCCAAAACAGATATGGAGAATAAGGTGATGGAAAATTGGGAGACTGGTCTCAGTGCAGAAGAAACTAATCGTCAATGAAAATGGAAAGAGGTTGGAATGGTAGGTGATTTGGTGCAGCACCTTGTCTCCGGATGGTGGCCGAAGATTTTCTGATTGTTAGGCATGAGTGATGTAGACGCCTTCACTGTTTTACCACCACCACTTTCGGACTTGAATTGCAGCAAATAAGGGCAACTTTCCACCTTGCTCATCTAGGGCCTATTTAGACTCAGAAGTATACATTAAGTGGTAATGGTCCAAGAAATCTCAGATAACGACATAACTTCATAATATGACTATATTTCTTTATTTTGCCTCGAGACTTGGAGCTTCTGATGTCCTCAGAAGAGCAACCAAAAAATGAAAAATGTTTGTAACTCTGCAACATTTGATATTGGCTGTTGCTTGTCAAAATTTGAAAGGGCCCATCCTGATTGGTTTGGTACTGGACTATAATCCATTGCAATTGGCAGTCAAACTCAGATGAGTAAAATGCCCATTGATGAGTTTTTGTCTGTATGGCTCTACTGAGAAAATGAAAGCCAATTTCCAAGCAAACTTCCTTGCCAAGCAAAGTTTTGGTTTTTAAGACCCCTGCAGCGTTGAAATATGTGGTACCAAGGGAAGACATAATATAGTCTACCATAAATTATAAGGTAAGTCTACAAGAACATGTCAATCATAGTGGGTTTTTCTGTTTCTCAATTCTTTTGTCATTTTTTCATTATTGAAACCTGGCAACTTGTATTACTTGAAAGAAATCAGAACTTGGGTGTTTTCTTGTTAGATAAGAAAAGTGTTGAAAGTTGCATGTGTTACAGAATGGAAGAATAAGCTGATATTTGGCAGCCAATGGAAGAAGTTATCCTTGATTTTGTCTCCAATCTTAAATGTCAGTGTCTAACTAGCTGCTGCACTATTTGGCGGCCGATGGAATGAGGCATCTCAATATTATCACCAGTGCCTAGATGTCTTTACTTGCTCCTTTCTAGTTTTAAACGATTCCCCATTTCAGCATTCCACTGGGACTGATATTCCTAGAGGCTTTCTCAAGCAGGTTTCAGGGATTAGCCACCACAAATCCACCAAGTTAGCCTAATTCAAGCCCCTTTTCGCATACTTTGCATTTTCACATTTCATCCAACTATATCTTTGATTATAGCATGCCTTCAACGCCTCATGCTCCATCTTCACCTGCACGACCTGGGCGGTGCAGTCCTTGGGTAATTGCCCCAGTTGCTATCATTTGCACTACCCTCCTGGTGTTTAGGTATTTCAGGGTACTAAAACGACTCTGCTGTGCTTGCACTGCTGCAACATATTCTAGAAACCAGGGTCAAAGGCGATTTCTAGATGACAGCAACTTTGATCCTCCTCCTTCACAGAACCAGAGCAATGCACTGGAATCCACTGTTATACACTCTCTTCCCATCTCCCAATACAAGAAGGAAAACAAAGAAGAACCACAGCCGAGCAACACTGATTGTGCAGTTTGCTTGGGTGAGTTTGAAGAAGGAGATTTGCTAAGACATCTACCAAATTGCACACATGCGTTCCACATTTCTTGCATTGACACTTGGTTTCTGTCACACTCAAGCTGCCCGCTTTGCAGATCAAGTGTTTCTGAGCTACAAATAAGGCCAGAATGCTCTGTATCTATGTTCACGATAGTAGAGACCTTAAGCAGAGAAGATTTCTCGCAGGACAGGGCAGCACATTACCAAATGCTACGCTCTGAGGTCCTACGAAATTCAGCACTTACGTATGCAGCAACAGGCGGTCGATAACAATTTTGAGCATAGAACACACATGGGAAGGGGTCGTCAGATAACTTGGCTGGTAAAGAACATTGGAATTGTACGAAGAACTCTGCTTCCCAGGGCTAAATTAAGCTGCCAGAGTGCAATGAATCAACTTATAAGGGATAAGTTGACAGCAAAAAAATCTCAAAACCAAGACAATTTAGTTCCTGTAGGATAAACGGACACCAATTCTGGCGAAAGCTAATTTTGTAGCGATACAAACAAAAAATGTGGGGCTGTTGCCCCATCTTGAATTTTTTGTATTTAGTCCACAAAAAGGCTGCAGATTCTGCAATCCAAGAACAAAACATCAAATAACCAAATTTATGGACCTTCTAGCTAATTGAACGCTCTTGGTTAATGAGATGGGATGGAATGGTTCACAGTAGTCATGAAATGATTCAAAAACGACTGCACCAGCCGGGAATCGAACCCGGGTCTGTACCGTGGCAGGGTACTATTCTACCACTAGACCACTGGTGCAGATACCCAACACTTAAACGCACCTTTTTCATGATCTCCGAATAATTTTTCCAACGTAAAAGGATCTTTTCTCGGAGCGGCCACTTCCAAAGTTCTTGTCGATATAGTTTATTTTCCCATTAAGAAGATTAGATGCATCGCCCTTCACCATCACTGATACTTGAGTTGAAAGCAGTCCTCAATCAGCGAGAAAGTGGCGACAAAAGATTCATGCAAACATTGAGACCGCATGAAGAGGCAAAAGGTTATATATCTTGCACGTATAAACCTTAAGACCCACCTCCAGAAATGACCAACTAATGCAGATGGTCAAACTCAAATTCATGCAACACACCTCAAATATGCAAACATGTTAAGAGGTTTTTGTCTAAAAACCTTTTTTATAAGTTAGTGTCGCTGCATCCATAAAACCATCACCACGACCACTCGCCTTTGTTATTTTGAAGCTTGCCAATCAAACCAGAATACACATGAAAGACTGATTGACGCACCATCACCGGGATCTTGACTATTGCAGTGGTTTCTGAGCAAATTACTGCTAGGGGAATAAATTTCAACATAAGTGTAATCTGTCCCCAGCTCTCATGGAGATCATGTCAGATGCAAATAGCTAACTTTCATGCACTAAACCATTTTCAATAAAATTTCAAAAACGAGTAAATCAAAAATCACCTTTTGTTTTAAGTTAAACCACGGAAGATTAACTGGCAGTAAACACAAGATTACAACTTTAACAGCTAAACTTAAATCTCCCTGCTCGAAGTCTCAAACGAACTGTCTTTACTCTTTGCAACAAAACAAAAAATAGATGCTCAAAACAAGGTAGCCACCAACTATCTTAGATAATTCCAATTTTGTTTGCTACGTCCAAGGCATCGTAATCAGGTGTCAACCTAACGTATGCCTTCTTTGTACCATCAGGCCTGCATCATCAGAAACACATACATTAAGTCTGCATAATACCATAAGCATAAAAGAAGGGTAGAAAAGAGGAATATATAGAAATGAGTTGAATGCATAATCAAGAAAACATCAAAAGAAGGAGACAAAACATTCAAGAACACAAAGTAACCATATATACTGCTTTAGAATATTCAACACATTGTTCTAAAACAAACAGGACAGAGAATATCATATCTACACAAGGAACAAATAATTAGAAATACAATAATATGCCTAACTAATGTCTTATTCTTTTAAAGTCCTCCTCATGTAGCCTTTTAATAACAAAGGAGTTGTCCAAATGTATGTCAAATATTTTGCCAGTTATCAACAAATAACCTACTGGTCTACAAACTCCTGAAGAAATGATCATATCAAACAATACAACACCCTGAGCTATAAACTAAAAGCTAGTGGACAATATAATAGGCAACAAGCACAAATAAAGATTACCTGATCAAGGTGTTCACTTTCTTGGCCTGAATATCATACATCTTCTTGACAGCATCCTTTATCTTCTTCTTGTCTGCACGAATATCAACAATGAAAACCAAAGTGTTGTTGTCTTCAATCTTCTTCATCGCTGACTCAGTTGTGAGCGGAAACTTGAGAATCTGATAATGGTCAAGCTTGTTCCTTGGTGGAGCACTAATGCGTGGATACTTAGGGTTCCTATCCTTCTTCAAGGTCTTTGGCCTGTGGAATGTAACCTTTGTTCGGATCTTCTTGGCCTTCTTCTTAAAAGTTGCTCCAGATTTCACTGCTTTTGCAGCCTTCAAGGCCTGCGCCTTTGGATCTGCCTTCTTCTCAACTGCATAACATACAACAGTCAATTTAATAAATGAAAAGAAAAGCTACAAATGCCATTATTAGAATAATTTATATTCTGGCCGAACATTAAACTATGCAACTCCAATGCCATTGCAAAAACCATATCCCACAGAAATCACTTAAATAAATTCAAATAAACCCCTCTAATCAAATATTCAAATGTGGCAGCAGTTACTCATACAACCGGATTCACAGCACAGAGTAAAACCAAACTAAGAATACAATCAACAGACCACAATAGCCCAAAGATACAATCCTATAAATATCGGAACAACAAAGCTAACAACGTAAACTCCACATTTGATTGGCTTGGCTTGAGTGTCATCAGCAAGTTCATATAACTTCCAATGAAAACAGTTAAATCAGATATGAGAAAAATTTCCCAATCCAGCATTCAAAGTTCCATAGCTACTCAATGAAAGGGCAAATAAAAAGAACATAAGTTATGCAATGAAAAGCTATGCCATTTAATTAATTATCTCCCTATAAGAACTAATCCAAAAACCAGACAAAGACATTAGAAAAAGATCAGAACTAGACTTAACAGTAGCACTAAGTTTACAAAAGCAATAGAATGCCAACAATCTCCAACCAGCAGAAAATAAAAATACAAATTTAAGCTCATTTCAACTCATTGCATCTATCAACAACCAAACAGAGATTAGATAAACAAATCACAGCTAGAACTAGTATTATAAAGAAAACCAAAAGACATGGAAGCAAACTATGAAGTTGGAAATCAGTAAAAGCTCAATCCAAATACCTTTTGGAGCCATTGGTTGCTGCCTCAAACACTTCTAAACCCTAACCAGAAAAAAAAATTACCGAAAATGAAGCTTCAAATCCTTTTAAAAACCGAAATGAGAAAGATAAAGAGAGAGAGACGACTAGAAACCTGTCGATGGGGAAAAGCGGAGGAGCCGTTCTAGGGTTTGCTGGGAGAGGGGAAGAGGAAACTAGGGTTTATATAGATAGGGTTTTCAAAATTACTTCTAGTGTCCAATGGCCTCTCGATACGGGCCTGCTTATCCAATTAAAAACACTAAAAGTAATAGGCCTTTGTCCATTTTGTAAGGGCCAGATTAGGATACCCGGCCATTTAATTATTTTATTTTAAAAAAATGAATGTTATTTTGAAGGTTTTAATAATTTAAAATAAATAAATTATATCTATTTATGTTTTTAATTTTTTATTATTTTTATTACACTTAAATAAAATTTTATTTTTTTAATTTAAATTCATATAATTCAAAAAAATTAACAACCATCAGATTCAATATCAATTAATATTTTCTATTCACGTAATATATGATATGATTTGAGAATGTAATCATGTTAATTCCTATCATATCAATTGTAGATACATTTAACTGTCATGTGATTGTGGTCATATGTTGCCTGCATGTAAAATACTAATTATTATTTGAATATTGTGATTTTTTATTAAGAATAAGAATTCTGAAAATTAAGAAAAAAATCCGAAAGAAAGGTTTACTTATATCAGTTCAATTATTATCAATTGCCAGGTTGGTAAAATTTTATGTAGAACAAAAACAATAACTCCTTATGTGTTGGGTTTGAAAATTTTTCTTTCTATATCATGTGTTCCAAGTGAATTCTTTCTGCTTCTGGAGCAGAGCCAAGTTGAAACAAGTGTATCATTCTGGCTTATACTCCATCTCAGACGATTCTTTCTTATTTACAGTTGGTTTGGTGAATTCAGCCAATGGTCCTTGCAGATCAGAACCATAAATATGACCCATCTTGGTACGCTTTGTTTCCAAGTACCTCTTGTTTTCCTCTGTAATGGGTGTCAAGACCGGCACTCTTCCAATAACAGCCAAGCCATAACCCTTGAGACCAGTGAACTTGGCTGGGTTGTTAGTCATCAGGCGCATGGTCTGAATGCCTACGTCTCTCAGAATCTGCTGTCATCATAAGTTGAAGAAGTTAAACATTGTTGAAGTCTAGTTGTTAGGTTACAAAGAGGAACATTATCAGAATGGAATGATGCAGAAAACTACTTTGACAAGGAAACCTATGGACAGTAATTTTTAGTAGGTAGATTCTGAAAATGGTTCTAAATAAAGCACTCTGAAACCATCATTTACACCTTATGATGAAGCATGATTGCTATATATTAGTCAATATGGAGGCTAAATCAACCAGGGTCTAAGAAGTTGAAGGATATGCATGGGGGAAAATGGTGTGTGTCTGATTTTTTCTGCTAAATACATGGCAACTTGTCTATCCCCATCGTTTGAAACTGAGTTCTTCTATTGATGATTGAGGGGGAAGGGGGATGAATGACTGACCTGGGCACCAATACCATATTCACGAGCATCCACAGCTAAACCAAGTTCAATGTTGGCTTGAACTGTGTCATGGCCCTGATCTTGCAAATTATAGGCCCGGAGTTTGTGACCAAGGCCAATCCCTCTCCCTTCGTGACCTCGAAGGTAAACCACAACTCCTCTACCAGCTTGCTCGATTATCTGCATTGCCAAATCCAACTGGTTGCCACAATCACATCTTGCTGATCCAAAAATATCGCCTGTTAAACATTCTGAATGAACTCTTACAAGAACATCTTGTCCATTCCCTATGTCTCCCTATTTGAGGTTTGAAAAGAGAAATCAGCTTGGCAGACGTCTTTGGACAGTGTGAAGTTAATAGAAAACAACTGAACCTTGTTTTACAAGGAGCAGTTTTACCTTAACAACTGCTATATGTTCTGTTCCGTCTAACTTTGATCGATAGCAGTAAGCCTGAAATAGACCCCACTTCGTAGGCAGACGTGAAATGGCAGTTCTTTCAACCAACTTTTCCCTCTTTCTCCGGTACCTTCGTAATAACAGGCCACATTTAGTGCAACTTGAGAAGACAATGGGAAGACGACAGGCATAATATTTCCATGGATAAAACCTTAATTTAAATATATGGAGAAAAGCAAAGCAAAGGTTCAATAATGAATTGACAAGCAGAAAGAATTTCAACTGGCAAATATATTGGCATTGAATATCTAAACAGTTTTTGGTCAACTTTATGCTACATATGTTTATTTGTTTACTTGATAAAATTGTATTTGAACTAACAAGTACAAACAGGAATGGGCGATTCTGTAGGATAGAATGCTGTAGAAGTCATATACTCATATATTACAGGAATATTTCTTTATAGATGATTCACTCATAGCTTTCCATGAGTGATTAGAGACATTTCTGGCAATGTCTGTGCATCAAGGGTCAATAAACAATGTCACTCAATTCGGAATTAAACCCATGGAGAGAGCCTATGTAGTTGAAACTTGAAACTGCAAGTGTAACACCGACGTTGTTAAAACCAAGTTCCATTCTCATTGCTTACCTGATCAGATCAGTTATTGAGACAAGTGGTATGCTATGCTCCAAAGCCAACTTTTGTAGAAAGGGCAGAGATGCTATAGAACCATCCTCTGGATCAACAACTGTTGAAAGAACAGAAACCGGCCGCAAACCAGTGAGCATGATCAGGTCCACAGAAGCCTCAGTATGACCAGCTCTCCTTAAAATCCCACCATTCCTGTACTTGAGGGGAAATATATGACCTGGCCTTCTGAAGTCATCAGGCTTTGACTCTGGAGAAGACAGAGCAAGAACAGTCTTTGCCCTGTCTGAAGCCGACACTCCTGTTGATGTACTGGTTTTTGCATCCTAACAAAACATATGAAGTTACCGGAACAGCTTGAATTAAAATATTAGGACAAGCTTCAAATGGCATTTTAGAATTCTTAGTATGCAACAAGTTAATTCAGTGCTTACAATTTAACAATCTTAAGGCTTGCAAAACATACCACTGTGACTGTGAAAGTTGGGGCAGAAGAATCTTCATCTTCACTTTCTGGTGACATGAGAGGAAGCTTCAGCCTTTCAAGATCCTCCTCTTTCATTCCTACAGAAACAATGCCTGAACCATGCTTAACCATAAAGCCGATCTGCTCTGGAGTTGCATGAGAAGCTGCCATGATGAGGTTTCCTTCGACATCCTCATTTTCATCATCTACAACAATCACAAACTAAGAAAATAATGCAGTGTTTGTCAACACTAGTCATGTTGTACATAAAACAGTTAAATAAATATTGGATCAAAGTAATCCATTCAATTCACATTGAAGAATTTTAATGCTGATCCAACTAAAATGATCACACAAAGGTGCAAAAGGATTAAATAGAGTGACAGTGAGTCCTAACCTTTCCTTGGTGTAATGTATTTAATGCCTGCTCAATGGAAGCGAATCCCTTAGAAGGGCAGTCAGGATCGCCCTCAGCATCACTAACGAAGAAATCAATGGTTTCAGGGGTAATTTCAGCATCCACTGTTCCAAATGGTGCTGAAGCTGACTCATCAAGTGCACCCAACAAGGATCCATTTTCAGCCCCCTTCAACGAGCTGTCATCAAACAGGTTTCCAGCTCCAATCTCAGATACCCCTAGAGCACAGCAACTAGAATTCAACCATCTTTTTCTGTACAGCCTGATTTCTACTCCACGAGGGACACCAAAACACCTAGG